GCTCTGGTTTGGTTAAAATTAACCCTTAATTCACGCAGTTAGATGTGTAAACATGCTGCCTCTATACACACTAAAATCACTGTTTATTTAAATGGAGTCTGGTGGGTTTAGTGATGGTGATTTCAGGGCTGTTACTGGTTTAACAAAAAGGACCAGGTTGAAAATACGGAATTTACTCTTTTAGGTTGAAGAGAGTATGAACTCCACCAAACCGACCGATGAAATCTCACTCATATCTAGTTATTAAGTTGGGTATAATTCTGTTGATCATTTCCAAACATGGCTCAGCCCCAGTTTGAATCAGTTCTGATGTGACGTTTTTTAAAAGTCATATTTATTTCGCTTATCACTGTTGTCAGGTGAAGAACTTGTATCTAAATGTCAATCTTTTATTAGCTCAGTAACCTCAACCCAGTCGCCAGAGGGAAGTGTTGTACATTTCTGCAAACCACAGATACATTACATTTTTATGTTTCATACATATATCAGCTTTCTGAAGTGACGTAGTATATGAGCTGACTTTGTCATCAGGAAGTGGAGGGGATGGTGGATGGTGTGACACTTAGGAGAGATGTCTGCCAAGCTGCAGACCACTGTTCAACACCAACAATCAATGAAAATGGTTGTTTTTAGTGAGACGTCGCAGCGTTTCCAGCAGTTTTTCAGCCCCTAAACTTGGGTGTTTCTCACCATGTGTCAAGCGGGACAATGCCACAAAAAATCAGAAAGTCCTCATCCCAACTCGTCAAATACTGCCACTTTGTCAGTGGATCAAAAAATGACACTCTGTGTAGCCTCCTGTCAGTTTTGGACTTTCAGGGATGGTGTGTCAAATTACTTTTGTAACGTGCGCTGTGCCTTTTCAAAATATACTTCCGTCTTCACAGGAAATGTACAGTTCCTGCTCATTACATGCACACAGCCTTTTTCAGAATACACTTACAACATAGGTCCACGGTGAGATTTAGCAAAAAAAATGGTTTGACCTAATATAAATACGTTTGTTATGAACGTGATGTCATATGTAACATATTCTCACTCCCCACTGAAATATCGCAGCTTCGTCAGTAGACTTTGACATCTACATATGACGCGCTAGATATTCAGGGGGCATCTGTTGTTGACGTTTTGGGACATCGATTTTTCAAAATAAACTTCCATTTTTACAGGAAATGTACAGTTTCTGCTCATTAGATGCAAACAGTCTTTTTCAAAATAAACTCAAGTTGGTAAAACATCATGTATTCACGTTTATGACATTGCGCAAGAAACGCACATGGTTAGGTTTAGAAATAAACATCATGGTTTGGCTCTACATTCAAACATGAAGCGAACAGCAGACTCCTGGGTGAAAGTCCAGTGTTTGTTGGACCCACCCTATAGGGACTTTGCAGCTCCTTACATTTTGTTTTTGTCCTGCTGCATCTCGAGCTGATGTCATCTGAAAGGGGCGCATCATACTGCCTACAAAGTATGTCATTTTTTTATTGGTGTCTGATGCAGAAATCACGCTACAATATTTGACGACATCATATTGAGAATGGGTTGTTGTGTGGCATACATCCCTAACATAGTGTTCTATACTAGCGCACTATGTTGTTATTAAAGTAACTCCATTGACTTTTGGTTTCACACAGGAAATGATGGGCTCCTGGGTTAAAGTCCAGAGTTTGTTTGACCCATCCACCTCCACTCCCACCCTCCCAATATGGACTTTCTCGCTCATTATTTTACGGTAGTTGTTGGCAGCGTGTATCATACAGCAGCAAAGGGTTCCTCTTGGCGTCTTTGCGTTGGTGTTTGATGCCGACGTCCACTGACAAAGCAGCGCTACATGAGCTGTCGGGCTGTCGCCTGCTGTGTCAAAAATCACCACTACCTGATGTGTATCATACCACATCCTGTGATTCAGCAGCTGATCAGTTGGTGGCGTTGACGTGATGTTCTCTCCTCATGAGAGAGCACAACGAGAGAACACCTGAGTGAACTTTAGCCCCGCCTCCAGCCCCGCCCACCGCACAACTAGAAGTGCACTGAGAAATGTTACGATTGGTCGGCTGAGAGGCAGCGACTGCATTTTAATTGGTCAGATGGGAGGCAGTGACAGCGTGTCATTGGTCAGTCAGTATTTTGTTAATAAGTAGGGAGAGAATCGTGTGAGAAGCTGTGAATACATTTGACATCAAACCTTGAAACGTGCTCTGTTTTTTGTTCCAGTTTTCTTTCAGATCAGATGCGTTCGGAGTTTCTCCCTCAGCTCAGCTTCATGTTCTTTATTCATGTTCTTCAGTTTTCAGTGTAAAAACAAAGAGAGCAGCGTGTCGTGAGTCGAACATCTGAAGGGACGAGCTGCGGCACAGAACCAGGAGCTGAACCGGGACCAGCAACTGATGTTGTCTTTTCTCTTCATGGTTCAGTCAAATCACGTCATGGCGTCTGTGTGTTAGAGTCGACTTGAATATTTATCTGTCTGATACTTTCATATCAAAACTAACTAAAGCTTCGTAGTCGCCGTCACAAAACTTTAACAGGGTGAACTGCTGAAAGACAAATTACTTCCGGTTAAACTTTAATTTAGGAAGAATATTTTGGAGATATCTTAAGATTTTGTGTTTTTGTCCAGTTTCACTTCAATTTTTATTCCTGGTTGTGTCAAAGCGTCTGGTCCTGGTCCTGGTCCTGGTCCTAGTCCTGGTTCTGCTCCTGGTTCTGTTTTATCTCTCTGTGATTTGTAAATATGTTTGGACTCCACCGTTTTATATTTTTACTGTAAATGTCATCAGAGTATTTATTTAGCCTGAAATTAATGTTGGTGCTATTTGATGTTACATTTGTTTGTTTTTGTTTTATTTTGGTAAACAGTGACTCGGTGAAACCCCGCCCCCTTCCTCCCTCCTACAAAACAAAATGCACAAACATAACGGTGTTCATGATGGAGGAGTCTGACCTTTATATTCAGTTTATTATCTGTGCGCACCTCGTTAACTACAGCTCCCATGATGCTTTGAGATGAGGCCTGTGTCTATTGCTGAAGACCAGACACCTGTGTTTTAATAAAGGATGTAAAAAAAAAAAAAAAGAAATGAGAAATCAGGTGTGAAATAAAAAGTGGGCGGGGCTTCATCCTCACCTGAGGAGGGGGAGGTGTCACTGTGTCACCATCATGTTTTTATTGTATTTAAATCTGTCGGTGATATTTTAATCTCTGTAGGAGGAAACTTCTCACTAACACTTGTGAAACATTTTACTCTCTGTGGACGGACGACTCTTCAATAAATCGCATCAAAGTTTCACCTCAAGAGTCTTTTTATTTATTTATTTAATTTACTCCAGAAGTTGCTGTAGAGTGAGTGATATTTCCAAGGAGAAAAATGAAGAACATATATGAAAATTCGTAGTAAAATAAAGAAATAAAAAATTCGAAACAAAAAGCTATAAATTATTTGGAAAATATTACTCAGATATATGAAAAGAAATCCAGAAAATATCAGAACAAGTAAAATATCCAAAAATAAATACAAGAATAAAACAAAAAACACAGAAAACGTCTGAAAAAGAGTTTTTTTAACTGTAAAATTAAAAAGACATTCGCAAATATCTGAAAAACAAAGGAGTAAAATGTCCAAAAATTAAAAAAAAAAAAACACACAAAAAGGAACAGAAAATATTTCAAAAAGACAGAAAAATAACATAAATAAAATATACTAGTGAAGTATCTGAAAGGAAATCTGGAAATACCTGAAAAACAAATCAGTAAAATATCCAAAAGTAACTAAATAAAACAAAGAAGAAACAGAAAATATCTGAAAAAGACAGAAACATTTTTTTGAATAAAATATTTGAAAAGAAATCCGCAAATATCCTGAAAAACAAATGAGTAAAACATAAAAAAAAGAAAAAAAAAGAAAGAAACAGGAAATATCTAGAAATGACTGAAAATTATATAATACATATATATATATATATATATATATATATATATATATATATTAATATAAAAACATACAATTTGTTCAAATGTTAGTAAAGTATCACAGTGTGCGACCGAGTCTATTTAGACTGTAGTTAAGGGCATTTTTCAGTCTGCGTTTTTCCTGTAGCCTACTTGTGTTCTTGCAGAGTTGTGAAAAGTCATGAGTTGCAGCCCACGTACTGTTCCAATTCAAAGTCCGCATCCAGCCGAGTGCAGTCCAAATGCCCGGATGTGAACTTGCTCTGCCCGTTCCATCAGGGATGCATCGGCAGGTGACTTGTGTGGACTTTTGACAGTCAGGTATCCCAGCTGGTGCGGCTTCTGCAGTGATGCGGGCGCTGCGCCGGTCCATCGTGGTTCAGAGGGAGCTGAGCCAGAAAGCAAAGCTTTTGATTTCCTGGTCCATCTGCGTCCCAACCCTCACCTATGGTCATGAGCTCTGGGTAGTTACTGAAAGAATGAGGTCACAGATACAATCGTCTGAAATGAGTTTCCTCTGTAGGGTGTCTGGGCTCAGCCTTAGAGATAGGGGGAGGAGTCAGACATCTGGAGTGAGCTCTGAGTAGAGCTTCTGTTCCTTCATGTTGAGGTGGTTCAACATCTGATCAGGATCCTCCTGGGCGCCTCCCGCTGGAGATGTTCCGGGCACGTCCCATGGATGGATGGATGGATGGATATCCCATAATGCACTTCTCACAGACCAGCAGCAATGGCAGCCGTCCTTCGGAGTCTGTACTCCTGAGTCGAACTTGCCATGTCCGAACTCCCAAGTGCGCAAGTCCAAACTTGGCGTACTTGGTATTGAGAAACGCAGATACTGTGACTGCTTCTGACTTTACACTTATTAACATGTACATTATTGGAAAGAATAAATAAAACACAATAATATTAATAATCTTATTATTATGTAAATATGTGTGGTGCAGTGTCTGTCTCTGTCCACCAGGTGTCTCTGTCGTCCCCCCGCTCCGCTCTCGGAGCTCCGCGGTGACCCGGAAGTGAACGAGCTTCCGGGGTCGGTCGGCCGGGGTCACCGGGCTCCACCATGGCGTGGAGGAGCTGCGCTGTTGTGTTCAGACTGACCGGAGACAATGGTTTACGGGGCTCCGCGAGGGGAGGCAGGTCAGTGACCACAGCCGGAGAGAGGCAGCGTGTTCCGGCTGACAGACAGGCAGAGCCCCGCTGCCCGGAGTTAGCTCTGTTAGCTCCCAAGGACAGTTAGATTAAACTGGGTGTTAGCGGCTAACGTTAGCTTGGAGGCTAACAGAGCTGCTGGCTTCTGTTTTGATCTGTTTAAACAGATTAATCCTGTAATTATCCGGCTCTTATTCAAAACAGACGGAAGATAATAACTAGTAACAGTAACATTGTCAGCTGTTGAGCCTCTGTGTTCATCACCCGGTGATATAAATACAGCTGTGTCACAAACACACATCATGTTTTCACTCTGTAATATTAATAATACAACAAGTAGTGCTGGTGTATGTGTGAGCTAAACTCTACAGATCAGCTCCAAACAACCCTGAAAATATGATCAAGTCTGATGTGTGAATATGAGGAGGTCAGCATTTATTAAACTAATATATCTGAAACTGTTTTTGTTCTTTTTATTGGGATGTTTAATAAACAGATGATGTGACAGATGTTCACAGTAGCCTGTTTTATTTTAGGTGTATGTAATGCTTCATGAAAGGCCCCAGGTCCTGTCCCAGTATCATGTTAGTTCACTCTCAGTGCTGAACTGGATCTAAACTGGAACAGGAGCAGCTCCAGTATGTGACTTTAATCTCACCTCACAGGGAACCACAACACGCTACTACACTGACCAGGGATGCACGATGATATCAACACGCCAAAGTCTGGCTCCTTGAACGCTGTCACTGACGTCCTTCGTTTATAGTTCCAGTTCTTCTCAGTTTATAGTCCGAGGCATCTGTTCTCTGTGGTTAAAGTTCTCCATCTGTCCAGCAGGTGGCCTCACAGCCTCCAGCAGAGATGTGGCTTCAGGAAAGCCGCCAAGAAACCAGAACCCAAGAAGGTGGAGGAGGATCTGGGAGCTGAGGCTGCGGTCCAACGCCGGACACCCACTCCCCAACTGGAGCAGCAGCAGGCGGCGCCCAGCTCGCCCCGGGCTTTCAACCGGCTCATCAGACCATTCATCTTCACCGTGGGGGTAGGTGATGTCTGATGGTAGATGATGTCATCAGCGATGTCATTGTCAGGTGTTAACTCCATGTCAGTTTACAGGCTGCTCCTTCGGCTCGGCGGCCATCTGGCAGTACGAGTCTCTCAAGTCTCGAGTCCAGAGCTACTTCGACGAGATCAGAGCTGATTGGCTGGAGAAGCTGCGACCTCAGAAACGAGGAGACGTTCGCAAAGAGGTGAGTCATCACTCTGACGTCAGTCTGAAGTGTTTGAGCTTCAGGAGGAAACACGAGTCCAGATTTCCTCCTGTGAAATCCCTCTTTGTGTTGTGCGAAGAAACTGTCCCGTGATCCACCAGAGAAAAACATCAGTGATTTGATTTTAAAAGTAAATTTAAGTCCTCATAGTTTGGTCAGGTGGGTCACAGCTGTGACGATCTGTTCTCTCAGATTCCACCATCACGAGAACAAAAACACGTTTCCTCTGTCATTTCTTTATTTTCAGCGTCTTAGAAACATCAGCAGAAATTAGGTTTGAGACGGGTCAGTAAATATTTCTGTGCAGTTCACCTCAGGAATTCAAAGAGCTTTTCACAGTCTCAACATAAAAAATGTTCCTTTTAATAGTGAACTTATTTTTTGGAAATAATAAATCACTCTGACGTCTTACGGTCAAAAGTGTGCTTAGAGCTATAAAAGGTCCAAAATGTTAGTAATTTTCTGGTCCTATTCCCAATTCCCAGTAAATCTGTTCATAAATTCAGCTAAATTTTCATAAAATTTTCGAGTCAGTTTTGATGTAAATTTTTTAGTAAACTGTCTGTAAATTTTTGGTAAAGTTCCAGTAAATTTGTTTGTACATATTGAAGAGAATTTATTGAACTTCTGGTAAATTTCCAGATAATTTTTAGTAAATTTTCTGTTAAATTCCTCATAAATTTTCATGTAAATTTCCAGTGAATTGTAAGGATTTTTTATTTTTTTTTTTTTGGTAATTGTTAAGTATGTCTTCTTGTAAATTTACAGTAAATTGTTCGTAATTTGAAAAAAAGTGTAAATTATCAGTAAATTTCTGCTAAATTTTCAGTAAATTTCTTGAAAACTAAATTTTGTGTAAATTATTAGCAAATTCCTTGTAAAGTTTAGTAAATTTTTAGGAAAAAAAATTACAGCATTCCGTTGGTAAATTTCTGCTAAATTTTCAGTAAATTTGTTAGTAAATTTAAAAATACGTTTTGTGTTAATTATTACTACATTTCCAGTAAATTTTAGTAAATTTCTGTTATGTTTTCCAGTTTTCAATAAATATCTTGGAAGTTAAGCTTCGGAATTTTAGGAATTTTACAAAATTTCAACTTAAAGATTGTACCTTTTAATAGTGAACTGATTTAGTGAATAAACTCATTTAGAAATATGAGGTCTTGTGACGTGTTTTGGTCAAAATTGGTTCATTTAATTGAATAGTAACCATGCACCTTATCTTTTTTTAAATAAGTATTTTAGTTTAAACTCAGTAAACTTAAGTTTGCGCAGTTTGCCCCGTGCTGGCTCAAATTTTTAAGTTAGTGAAGTCAGTTAAATTGTTAACTTGTTAGCTTGCTAACTCACCACATGGCATATTTTATTTTGTATGTATTTGGGATATAAATACATTCTGTCTGCTCGTGATGTGGTGAAAGGTTTCTTTCTATCTGTGTGTGACATGTTGAACGCAGCCTGAGGAGAGAACCGTGTTATTTAATCTCTCTAAAGTCTCCACCTTGAATATTCCCTGGTAGAAAATGTAATTTCAAATGCTGGTGAAGTTCTCAGTCCAGGGCCCGTAGACAGTCTGCGAATACTTTACTTAATTTCTTTTGTAAGTGGTTTTCAAATATAGACTTTTGAAGTGTCAGATGAAGGTTGCAGACAGACTTCTTGTTTTTAAATGTCTCACAGAAACGTGTGTGAGTGTTAATGTGGTAAAAAGACGTGTTCACAGATTCTGCTGATGTTCTGCAGTCTGAGCTCTGATTGGCTGTTTGTGTTTCAGATTAACATTTGGTGGAACAGCTTGAGTGAGGGTCAGAAGACGGTCACAGGTGAGACAAACTGCAGCAAACATTTACATCAGTCTAATAGAGTTACTATAATAAGCCTGTTTTTCTTTCCCAGGGATCATTGCTGCTAACGCCGTCGTGTTCTGCTGTTGGAGAGTCCCGTCTCTGCAGCGCTCCATGATCAAATACTTCACCTCCAACCCGGCCTCCAGTGAGTCTGTCTGCTCACACTGTCACTAACAGCTGTTTCAGGTCCTCAGGGTGGTGCGTTCAAGGTCCCACATGTTTTAGATTGAGCTGACAAACTGATCAAACCAGCAACACGTCACGCGGGAGTCTGTGTCTGTCTCTGACCTCTTCGTCTGTGCTCCTGCAGAGACTCTGTGCTCTCCGATGCTCCTCTCCACCTTCAGCCACTTCTCCTTCTTCCACATGGCCGCCAACATGTACGTCCTCTGGAGCTTCTCCACCAGCGCCGTCTCCATGCTGGGCAGAGAGCAGTTCATGGCCGTCTACCTGTCTGCAGGTGCTGCACCACACAACACTGTCACTTAACGTTGTTCTGACTGGCAGTGATTTGTTTTCATGCTCATACAGTGAAGACAAACAGATCAAACACACAGTTCAATTGTTGACGCTGATTTTAGTTTTTGTTTGTTTGTCTGTCTTTCAGGTGTCATTTCCACGTTTGCCAGTTACGTGTGTAAGACGGTCACCGGGAGGTTCGGTCCGTCGCTGGGAGCTGTAAGTGACATCACTGCTTTCATTTCAGTGAAACACTGTGTTTGTAGACCTGTTTTACTGCAGTGGATCCCAAACTCTGGGTCGGCACCAGGGTTACAGAGGGTCGCTACATTTCCAGGAATTAAAGCACAAAAGACCCCACAATTTCAATATAAATTTGTATCTTTTTTTATATATATTGTTTATTCAGTAGGTTTTGAGAAACAAAAACATGTATCAATATAAACTAGTCCATAGCCATTGGTAGCTTTGTCACCTTCTACCTATGCCAGTCCTCAATGCCTATGTGCAGTTTCACATAGATTGACCACGTCAGTGAGTAGAAAAACGTGGTACATACAGAATGACTGACTGACAGAATGACACACTGACAGTTTCTGTGATTGTCCATCATCTTCCTGCCCTGAAAAAATCTCGTTGAGCGTTCAGTTAAACTCAAAGATCCTCTCAGGAGTCAGATGTCATTTTTTCAGGTAAGTACATTTTGTTTCAGTGGTTTTAAACCTGCTCTTCACTAACGAACATTAGCATCATCACAGTCAACTGTAGCTGAAAAGGCTTTGTGCTAACTGAGCTAGCAGCTAGCATTAGCGTTAGCTTTACCCTCTCATCCAAATATGGTCACTTCTGGCTCCAGAGTGACAAAACAGGAGTCCACAAACCAGCGGGTGACGTCACGGCAGCTTTACTGTCTGTGGATTTACACAACAGCTGACGTAGAAACAGGAAACATCGTTACGTTAACCAGTCTCTTCAGGATGTTTGGATCGCAACAATTAATGCAAATTTAGGCGATCCCCGTGAATTCTGCAGAACCTTGCAATTTCGACCGCAGATTTGACTGTTTAAAACAGGTAAAATGTGATTTTATTGTAGAGCTGCGTTCAGCGTGTTGATGCACGCTCAACACTGTTTTTGCAATTTTCACTCACCACAGTTTCATCACAAAAACAGGACTAAAACACTGTTCAACATGCGTCACAATGTTTTAGAAAAGCTGCTGTGACATCAGGAATTTAAGGCACAACAATCCTAAAACTATCCTGTGAAATCCTGAAGGGACCGATTAACGCACATCGTCACTTCCTCCCCTCAAACTCGTGTTCTTTGCACATCATACTGTGACCTGTGACACATCACCGGTCAACATTCAGACGCTCCTGCACAAACTGTGAAGCTCTTTCACTTTAAAACGCATTCCTACGTTTTCTGTTGTAAATGTCTCTGGACTGTTTGACATGTTCTGTAAGAGGCCTTCAGGCGTGGCTCCGTGTGTGAGCGCAGGGTTTAATGTGGTCTCACCAGCTGTGTGTGTGTGTGTGTTCTCAGTCTGGAGCCATCATGACCGTCCTCGCCGCCGTCTGCACCAAAATGCCAGAAGCCAAACTGTCCATCATCTTCCTGCCCATGTTCACCTTCACTGCTGGCAACGTAAGACAGGCTCCGCCCACTTTCACCTGCTCCACCTGTCTCTGTCTGACCGTCACCTGAAACTCCTCCTCTGTCTCCCCTCAGGCTCTGAAGGCCATCATCGCCATGGATACGACCGGCGTGGTGTTGGGATGGAAGTTCTTTGACCACGCTGCTCATTTAGGAGGAGCCCTGTTTGGAATGTGAGTCACTGTTTCGACCAATCAGCAGCCACTCGTTTCCTCTGACACCTTCACTAATGTGGGAATTATCAGGGTCTGTGTGGGTGAAGTAAGAAAATACAGCTCCAGGAAGTGTCTGATAAATATTCTGATAAAAAACAAACAACGACTCAGATTTAAGCCGCAAATTTATGAAATACAAACCGGGGTATTCTCTGAGATTATTGAGTCATGAATTTGCAAGAAAAAACTTTATAATCTCAGAAAATATTTAAGTTTTTTTATTGTAAATTTCAAGATAAGTCTCTTGTCCCAAAGGAAATTTGTCTCGTACATAAAGGCTGCCGCATGAAAATACATCTGTTTGATTTTTTTATTATTTACCACTGTTGTTAGGGCCTCTGCAGGTAAAATAAATAAAGTCGGCAGAGGGAGGTAATATTCTGGCAAAAAAATCCAAATTTAGGAGGATATTCTCTGAGATTATTGAGTGATGAATTTGCAAGAAAAAAATGTTACAATCTCAGAAGAGTATTTTACTGTAATTTTCAAGAAGATTCAAGATAACTTTGCTTGTCCTGAGGGAAGTTTGTCTTGGACACAAAGAAAACACATTGGTGAGTTTTCTTATCATATGAATAGATGTGTTTGTTCATGTTTTTTAAGAAAGAGTCTTTACACTAGGAGCAAAAACTTAATGAAATAATTTAGCTCTATTGTTGAAGTTTTAAAAGACTTAATATACCACTAATTACTCGCCCCACTGTAGGTTAAAGATAAAATAAAACCAAACTACACAAATACAGAGCTGTGGGAAATATTCTGAATAAAAATTCCAAATCTCCAAGTTTTACGTTGTAAATGTACAAGATAAAAACAGATATTCTCTGAGATTAGAAAGTCATGAATCTGCAAGAAAAAAACTCAGAGAATATTCAGTTGTTTAATTTAAAATTTGTGATTTTTTTTTTTTTTTTGTACATTTCAAGAAGATTCAAAATGACTTTATTTGTCCCGAGGGAAATTTGTCTTGGACATAAAGGTTGTCAAGGGACTTTTATTTTAATAATACATTTACCACCGATGTGGGAGATTTTAGAGCCATTGCAGGTAAAAAAAACTGGAACATTCTCAAAGACTATTTAGTCATGAATTTGCAAGATAAAAACTTTAAAAATCTCAGAGAATATTCAAGTTTTTTATTTGTAAATTTGGGCATTTTTGGGTATATTTTAAAATGACTCTGAAGTTTGTCTTGGACATAAAGGCTGCCACACACAGAAACATCTGTGAGTTTTTTTTGATCTTAAATTTACAACTTAAATCCCAGAGAATATCTGATATTTTTTTTATCCTGTAAGTATACAAATTTTATTGTGGAAATTTTGTACATTATTTCATTGAAATATTACCTTCCTCCCTCAGCTCTGTATTTTTACATATTTATAAATGTTTTGCTCACAGTAGCCTTAATATGCCGTCATAAGGATCTGCAGAGTGAACATTGATTAGTGACTACAGATCCCTTTAATAATTTCATATAAGCAGACGGAGGTTTGTGGGCCACACGTTAGAGTCACAGTCACTGTCACTGTCAGTCCTCTGATTAATTAATTGTCTGATTGTTTCAGATGGACTCGTATAAACTGTCAGGGAGTTTTATTTGTTATAAAACATCAGATTTTATAACTCTTATAAGAAGAAAGTGTCATGAAAAGTAAAAATACCTCAGATTTGAACTGAACTCGAGGATGTTCACTGTGAAGCAGGACAGACACTGTGTGGTGTTGAAGGTGTGGCTGCGTGTGACAGCAGAACTCAGTTTCCCATCATGCTCTCTGTCCTCTCTCTTCCAGCTGGTACATCCTGTTTGGTCACGAGCTCATCTGGAAGAACCGAGAGCCGTTTGTTAAACTGTGGCATAACCTGAGAACAGGAGGGCCGGGCCGAGGAGGAGGAGGAGCAGCAGGAGGCGCAGGAGGAGGCGTGGTGTAGGACGCTCAGACGCCGGGGCTGATGGGAAAATATAAACATGTAAAGATGTATAAAATGTACAGACAGAAGCCGGATCGCTGCACCATTCGGCTTCCCCAGGACAGGTGATGATGTCACACAGACACCTGGAGGTGAAGTCGTGGTTCATATTTATAGAAACAGTTGATGTGAAGGTTTCAACTGTTTGTGTCTGTTTGATTGTTTTTGTTTACCTTTTGTTTGTTTAGAGATAAATGAACTCAGACGGAGCAGAAACCAATGATTCTGATTGTATTTGGATTCATCGTTCAGCCAATTAAAGTCCAGGAAGATTTAGGCAGCGCTTCACAAACACTTTGAATTTATCGTTTGCTTTTTCATAGATTAATAAATTAATTCAAAGCTTTTATGATCCCGTACGTTTCCTGTGTGCAGACGTCTGTGTACAACATTTGAATAAGATAAACACTGCGTCCAGTTCATATGAGGAGTCACTCTGCTTCAGGACACATGAGATACATACGTGTGTGTGAGAAACCAGAATCACCAGCAGCAGGAAACAAGAAGTATGAATAACGTGAAAAGTTTCTTGTTCTAACAGGACGTTTTTCATGTCATGAGATACAAGATGTTTTCATATTTACCAAGGAACTTTTCTTGTTAGAACAGTCGACTTATTTATCTTGTAATGTCGTGAAAGTGTTGCTGGGGAGAGGGACGTCCCGGGTGCTTTGCTGCAAATATAATACAAGACTGAGTATATTGTTATAACCAGAAAAGTTTCTTATTATAACAAGAAACTTCAGGTTTTGTTTGTTTGTTTTTCCGGCGAGGCATCAACACACTTCCATAATAGAACCTCAACCTTCTCTGACATTTTTAAAGTGAGTTCTTCACGTGTGAGAGAGAAGAAGAAGTCGACTCTGTTCCAACGTGTTTTCGTCTTTCTTTCTGCTTATTTATGTTTGTTTGTGTCTTTTGAATAAAACTGTAAACGATGCTGTTGAATCCTCTGAACTGTGACTCTGCTGTTTGTGCAGATTCAAGACAGAACAGGTCCTCGCTGGAGGAGCCGTCTCTCCTGTGCTGGAGTTGTTTTGTTTCCTTCATGGGCGAATCTGTGCATTCCTGGCTGCAGTGAACTGCACACACTTATTGAGCCTGGGTGTTTTTGTGCTCAGGGTGTGTGTCACTGAGATGTTGAGTTTTTTAATGCAACATAAGGACAGACAAAGTCCTCTCTGTCTGATCTGGAGCTTTCTAAAAAACTAACAACTCAATTTGAATTAAATGTTACTCACAGAAATACATGACATCACCGTCCTCCAGCTGAGCCCCGCCCACTTCAGAGCTGTGAGCTCAAAGACACCACAGAAAACATGAAGTCACTTTGACAGCAAATGTTTTGTTGCAGAGAAAACTATTTTTTTTAAATCATTAGCTAATCAGCTGTTACACTTGACACTCTTTGATCTGTTTTATTGAAGCAGTTTAATAACTGCAGACTGAGCAGTGAACTGACCTGTAAACATGAAGTCACTTTGATAAACAGACAGTTTAAAGTCCACAAACCGTCACAGAGACAAACAGACACACAGAGCAGACGGGACCTGATAGTAACTGTTACTACTGCAGATACTGAGACACAAGTTAAAGTGGCACAAACAAAAATAAAAGACATGAAAGGAGTGAATTTTGAAAATAAAATAAATGTGAATATGTTATACATACAAGTACACACATTTAGTGTATTCAACACACCTAACATGCAAAACTCCCTCAGTGACTAAAAGTACCATCAGGTCAGTTTTATATAACTCTGAATGTTTGTAGGCTTCATATGTGCTCTGCTCACAGAAATTAAGGGAACACTTAGATCGCACATCAGATCTTGATGAACGAATTATTCAAGTGTAAAATCTTTACTGATGATCATTCTGTAATTAGTTGAGAACAAAATCATCGACCCACTGAGAGCTGGATTCAAAATCACACAGAAAATCAAAGTAAAAACTTGAAATCTCAGCTGATCCAACTCATCATGTGACTCAGTAGTGTGTACGGCCCCCGCCTGCCTGTATGACCTCCAAACGCCTGGGCTCCTGATGAGTCGGTGGATGGTGTCCTGGGGGACCTCCTCCCAGACCTGTATCAGGACCAGGAGGAACCCAGGGCCCTCTGCACCAGGAGGAACCCAGGGCCCTCTGCACCAGCATAAGGTCTGACAGTCACTCTGAGGATTTCATCCTGGTACCTAACAGCAGTCAGGGTACTGTTGGCTCTGACATGGAGGTCTGTGTGTCCCTCCAAGGATCTGCCTCCCCAAACCATCACTGACTCACCGCCAAACCGGTCATGCTGGATGATGTCACAGGCAGCATAACGTTCACCACGGCGTCTCCAGACTCTTTCACGCCTGTCACATGTGCTCAGTGTGAACCTGCTCTCATCTGTGAAGAGAACAGGGCGCCAATGGTGGACCTGCCAGTTCTGGTGTTCTCTGGTGAATGATGGAGCTGCACGGTGCTGGGCTGTGAGCACAGGTCCCACTAGAGGACGTGGGGCCCTCATGCCACCCTCATGGAGTCTGTTTCTGACAGTGTGGTCAGAAACATGCACACCAGTAGCCTGCTGGAGGTCATGTTGTAGGGCTCTGGCAGTGCTCCTCCTGTTCCTCCTCACACAAAGGAGCAGATAGCGGTCCTGCTGCTGGGTTGATGCCCTTCTACGGCCCTGTCCAGCTCTCCTGGTGTAACGGCCGGTCTCCTGGTGTCTGGTATCAACCTGATTGGGCTGCAGGTACGACCTCATGCTACCAGCAGTGACAAGGACACTAGCAGAAGACCAAACTAGAGAAGAATCAGTCTCCTAAATGGACAGACTGATAAACCCTGAAGTTTAACTGACTTGGTGTTAGACTGTGACCATTAAGTGTTCCCTTCATTTTTTAAGCAGTGTATTGTTATGACGGAGATATTATCTGAGCAGGAGCTTTCACAGCGCTCCATGGTGGACAAGCAATGTTTTTAAATTAACTTAAACCCAGTTTAACATTTCTGTTTTTAAATTTCATCTGTCAATTTACAGATAATCTGATACTGAGAGATCAACAATAAGATGATTTATTGGTCCGACACAACAGTCAGTGGAGCTACGTTTGTTGGGACATTGAATAATTACTTTTTTTCTCCAGGTTTATTAAATAAACTATGAGAGATAAGTGGCATTAAAGATCATGAAAGCTGTCGAGAAACAGAGTTGGAGGTGAAACTCTGGGATTCCCGTGTGTCAATAACTGTGTGTGTTCAGCGGTGGTTCGGAGGTTCATTGACCCTGAACACCAGCAGACCTCAGAGGATCAGATCTCCACACTGAGACCACATCACTGAAACTAACGGCTGCAGAAGAAACAAAAAAACTTGACTTCAGCCTTCAGATCTGAGCTGACGGTAAGAACTGTGATCTGCTGCTTTACTGGGAATGTTAACTGATGTGGTTACATGTGTATTTGGACCATTTTATAAGAGCTCGGTGGTCTGGTCAGAGGCTGAAACAGAAGAAAAAGATACCTTACAAATATGGTCACAGTCTTAAAAAGTGTGGTTTGTCCTGAGCGTTTACTCTGCTTGCTGAGCGTAGTTTTACTGATGACTAACCTACATTTATGAACTCTGCTGCTTTCATACTGTCACATTGTTTTGCTGACAGAAAGTTATCACATATGCTGCCATCAATATGTGATTTAGTCTTTTAGGGGTAAGTCTGTGCACCTGTTATGCTTTAGCAAGAAAATCACATTGAAAACATGAATATTGCAAAAGCTGAATGAAGAAAATCAGACACCTGTTCAAGAACTTTCCTCTGGCTACAGACAGGGTGGGGAAGTCAGAAGGTTCGTTACCATGTTAGCCTCTAATAATTTATAAAATGTGTTAGATGTTTATTTTGCTTGTTTTTGTGCTTAAATTTCCTCTTAAATGTTTCTTTTTGTCGTCATTGAAGGTGCTCACCTGTTAGTTTTATTGTAAAGGCATGAGGACCTGTGTGTGACTGTCATTTGATTCATAAACATAACTTTGAATGACATATTAGCATGTCACTAAAAATATAGAGGATCTAGAACAGAACCCTGAGGAACCCCACAGGTAGTTTTTGACAGTGTTGTTGCTGTGTGTCTGCTGGGAGCCCGGTCTCCGAAGTTGTCGAAATCCGGCACTTGAGCAGTGTCTTGTGATGTCATACACTGACAGAAAAAGCCGCCCTTTAATGTCAGCTTGGTACACAGCCATTATGGATTAATGGTGCTTGACGTCGGGGAAACGCGGCGAGACATGAATTAAAGTTAAGGTGCCGAAAGTCCAAGAGAGGGGTGTTTGTGTCTTGTACGATTATAAAGCCAAACTTCTTTATTCCAAAATTTAACCACATGTTTTTGTTGCCTAAATCCAACCACATGCGTTAGTTGTTGGGGAAAAATTTCAATTGCCGTTGTACTTACGTACGGCTTTTATTTTGAAAGAGACTGTATGCAAACTGTACATTTCCTGTGAAAACAGGAGTGCATTTTGAAAACATACAATGCATGTGACAGGCTGAAGTTGACACGGCGTTCCAGAACGTCAACAATGTATCTGGACGTCATGGGTGCAGATCTGATGACAAGTTTGGGGGGGACACAATCAGTTGTGATTTTTTTTTAATTGCACGCGTGCAAATCATGCCCACAGAGCACTTGAGATTGCCAGCATATTTCACGATTTCATAGAGGCTCATCACCATCACCAAGTCATTCAAAAAGCACTACAAAGAGAATCATATGCTCACCTTTACTGTTTATTTCTCTTAAACAGCCAGTAGTACATGGAACCAGCCTTTTCACTGCTTCGCTGTTAGTTAATGCTACTTCTAGTTTCAGGGTCTCAGGCATGTTATGTCCACTCACGTTCTCATCTCTCGCCTCTCACGGATTCCCATTTCTCCTCATCATCTTCCCTTTCTCCCAGTATATAGGACTACTGTATACATTTGTTCAATTTCAATCATTTAAGTTATTTAGAATTGGGGGGGACAATTTGTGTTTTTCAGAATTGGGGGGGGACATGTCCCCCCCATCCCCCCCGGGATCTGCACTCATGCTGGACGTGGAAGGTCCTTGACCAAACGTCGATATATGATGAAGTTGGAGTGAAAATGTGTGTCTGCTGAATGTGGATGCAGGTAGCAGGTTGCTAACATGTTAGCATCAACTACTCAAATTCACTTTCTGCAGATTGGTTGGTGTCAGAGCCACCAGGTGTTGGTGACTTCCTGCTGTATTCCCAGGTGGACATTGAGCAGCATGGCGGTGGGCCTGCAGGTTGTGGGTCTGGTCCTGGGCGTGGTGTCGTGGTGTCTGCAGTCCAGCTGCACCTCCTCTCAGGTGTGGAAGGTGAGGAGCCAGGCGGAGTCGGTCAGCACCAGTCAGTGGCAGATGGAAGGTCTGTGGATGAGCTGCGCTGCCACGTCGCTGGGCTCGATACAGTGCAGCAGGTTCAAGACGGTGCTGGGACTGCCGGGTGAGTCATCATACAACTATCTTGTTTACTGAACAGCTGTAGAAACTGAAACATCATTTAGGTTTTAGTAGCAATTGGCATTAAAGCTACACTGGACAAAAATTTAAATGCACACACAAACACTTTTGTTTTTGCTCGCAGTTTTCACAGGATTAAGATAAAGATTTGACACTTTTTTGATGCACTCAGTAGATAAGTTTCTGTCAAGTGTTGATCACAAATTTGTTAAAATTCATGTTAGTGAGCGCTTGTGACGTTTGATCCCACAATGACACAGATGGAGCGTGTTGTTAACATGTTGACTGCAGGAATGCCCATATCACGACCATAAGAAATTTCATAATGTCGTTTCCATAAATTTGGCAGTATATACAACCAACCTCACAACCACACAAATAGGTTAGGATCAGTGATGTAATATATTACTCATTACTCTTTTCAAAAGTAATACTACTACTTTACTGTTAACTCCCTGCCAACAGTAATTCGTGACACTACTTGTTATATTACTTTTCCATTACACCCCATAAAATTGGTAACTGCGTATCTCCCCAAAGTTCAGATGTGTCTCTGTGTGGATGTCAGGGTGATCACTGCTGAGTGTAGCTGAGGATAGATGGCTCCCCTTTACCTGGAGGTCTTCAGTTACCTGTGAGCGTTATTTTCCCAGAGATCTGTCTGACAGATGGAGAGTCACTCATGGAGCAACATTTCATCCACCACATATCCAGCCACAAGCTTCATCACCTCTCTGTGTCTGCAGCTGTCCACCAGTTTGGCTTGTTTAGCCAGTGTAGAGCTACAGCCGACCTCTGCAGCCGAGGAGGGCTCACCTTTGGAGGGGTGTATTTCCTGGAGCTTCTCAGTGTTGTGCTGTGGGTCGTAGAGCTGTTTCAGACCGAAGGTTTGAGGACGTGTTTTTCACAGTGGGAAGATTTTTAGTGCGACTACCTGCAGCAGCAGAGTTCCTGTCGTCGTTCCTCCCGAAAGTCCATGACCAAACATTTGGTCATGGACTTTCCATTTTGTGAGAAGGCTGAGGCGTCAGAGGGTTCTGCCATGAACCTCTGCCAGCCTTCAGAGATTATTGTGGTTGCAAATAAAAGATAAAGGAGGAGCGTGGTGAGTTGAATTCTGTGCATAAATCTAGAAAATAGCTCAAGCCCTCTGTACTGTAAATGTCCCTCAGTGTCTGAATGTATTTTTCAATCCAGCGGGTGAACTGAATTTGCTGGCCACCTATCAGTAGTCTCGCATTGTTAAAACGCTGATTCTTGGAAATAATAAGCTGTACAGTAGTAACAGTTTTTATATGTATAAACCTTAAATTCGGGATGCACATCAGCCAGTATCAGCTTTGAAATGAACTATCAGACCTTGTTCCGCGTTGTTTAAGTTTGAGTTTTAACACATTTTTACTGATTTTAATTAAACCTTTAAAAAACGTATACATGAAACTTCTTTACTCTTGTTAAACATCACTGTGTGTCACGTCTGGGCGCGTCTGCAGCTCACCTGCAGACCTGCAGGGCTCTGATGATCATGTCCATGCTGATCAGTCTCACCTCCATCATCGTCTCTATTCTGGGACTCAAGTGCACCAAGATCGGCAGAACCTCGGAGCACGCCAAAAACCAGATGGCTCTGACCGGAGGAGTCTTGTTCATCGTGTCCGGTGCGTGACGTTGTGATTCCTCTCAGAGCTGAACACGTTACTTGTCTGTTCTGTCGGTACTTGTTTGTGACTGAGATGTCTTCATGTGTGTCTCCTCCTCAGGCGTCTTCACTCTGATTGCAGTGTCCTGGTACGCTGCCAGAGTCATCCACGACTTCTACGACCCGCTGTACGGAGGAGTCAGGTCAGTCACGCACAAACACCGTGCGGACAGTATGATGTCACTTCCTGCTGCTGACACTGTGTGTGATGGTGCTGCAGGTTTGAGCTGGGTACTGGTCTGTATCTGGGCTGGGGGGCCTCCTGTCTGGCTATACTGGGAGGATCTATGCTGTGCTGCTCCTGCAAGAAGACTTCACCTGCCCCCCCTGCTGCAAGGTACACTGCACCACACAGACGTCTGGGTTTTCCACACAGGGTATGATGTCCAAATTTAAAAAAACAGTCTCACTACAATGAAATAGGTGCTGTGGGGGCGAACACCATCGCACATGAATAAAACTGGGCTCTCTGAATCCACAAGAGTCTCAGCTTTCCAGGTTTATGTAAATCCAGGACTGTTTATGGACCCAGTGTGCAGAAATATTCAAATACAACAGGCAAATAACACACCTGTACTGCCTGAGAAAAACTGCAGTAGGCGTATAGTGGGCGTGTCTGTGAAGGGCAGACTGATGGGTACCCATAGAACCCATTTTTGTTTAGATATTTTGATGTCAGAGGTCAAGGGAGCTCTGTGAAACGGTCGGTGGCAGGTGTAGCAGGCCCTTTCTAATCCAAATCTACGAGGCTGATAGAAGGCATTAAAGGGGCCGATAACAAATCAGTTTTAAATCAAAAATCTCACATTCTCTCTTTCAGACAATTTTCATACAACTTCACCACGACGAGCCGAGGACAGAACATCTACAGAGCAGCTCCGGCCTCCGACAACAGCAGCTCCAAAGCTTACGTCTAAACCTCTTCAGCACTTCCTGTCTGACGTAACGTCAGAGTCTAATCCAGGATCACGCTGGTTTTTAAAGAATTCCTTTTTTTTCTAAGTACAAAATTAAATGTTTTACTGTGAACGGCGCTCATGCTTTGATTTATGCCGAAATCTTTTTGTACCGCTGATGTCACCGAGATTTCTGAACCATCCTGTTTGTTCCATGTTGACGTGTTGTAAATAAATGTTTCCTGAATCTGTGCAAGCGTTTTCCTCTCTGGTGTCACAGACAGAAGCAACAGACCTCAGATCAGCTGATATTTAGTCACGAGATCTGCTGCTGTGACGTTATGACAACCTGCACAACTAAAGACGTTCCCATCAGCCCTGGCTGTGCTGTGTTCACTGATGATGAGCACTTTTGGAGAACCAGAACTCAGAGACAAAGATGGGTTTCTAAATGTGTCCACTGTGCACATGGCGTTGGAAACATGTTTGATTAAATTCAGGTCGGTCAACTTTTATGGGAAATTGAAGGTTAAGATTTATTTATAACCTCTGTAGAAAAACAAAGAGACAACTCCCTCTCAGAGTATGACAGGAATGTCGGCTGACACTTGTGGTTGGAGTTATTAGAAATGGAATGTGTGATTATGACGCAGAGTGGGCGGGGCTCAGGTATAAGTTTCATTTACTCCACACAAACTCATCAAACTCCAGGAAGTGTGTCCTCACTGTGCTGGCAGAATTCATCAGCCTCAACACGCAGTAAAAAAACACGGGAAAACCAAAGCCATGACTGAGAATGGTTTGTTTGGGTTCTGTCTGCTGGTGGTTTGTTTCCTGCTCCAGCCCGGACTGGCTCAGGTTCCTGAGCAGGTTCCTGAGCCAGCGCAGTGCCTCGTCTCCAGGATGTACAGTCTGACCCGGCTGCCGGAGAGTAAAGATGACCACAGCTGCTATAATGATTGCTTAGAAGAACCTGACTGCCACATGGCCGTGGTGACACAAACGGTCAGCAGCCCATCTGAGTGTCTGCTGGTCAACTGTCTGAACCAGGGTCAACACTCGTATCCCCGAGATCCCAGCGCAAAGATCAGCGTCTACCCCAAGAGCACACTTAACAGTGGTAAGATGGATTAATATTTATTACAGGATTCTGTTTAGAGTAAGTGTATGGCAAACTGACAAGGACCTCTGGGACCGGTTTCACAAAACACCTTAAGTTAAGCTTTTCCTAGTCCGAGTTCAGGTTTCCTCATAATAAAATTGATTGCATAAAACACCCTTAAGTCTTCTCCTTAAGGTTTCCTTAAAATGTTCACTGAAGTATTTATGGTTTTCTTGGCTTGTACTTAAAGCCCCTGCAAGGAACTTTCATTCTGAGTTGATTTTGGCGACCCTGTGGACAAAAGCGGTAGTGTTTTGGCGGAATGAAGCCTACATTTCCCATGAGCTCTAGCGCGTATTGTCGTAAAGACGCTTACCTGGCTCACGCATGTGTTTGTTTTGGGGATGAATGAAACAACAAGACGGGAAAACTTTGCCCCCGCTCCTATCGGGGATCCCAGCTCACCTCTGCCGCGCCCCAGCTCCACCTCTCCGGCGTAAGCGCCACCGCCGCCGGGGTAAACGCAGCGGTCGGCTGGTAAGGCTGAAGGCCTGTTTGGCGAGCACTTCCACGGCTTCTTGGACTGAGTATGGAGCGGTGCCTCGCCTCTTTATTTCTCGGCACTCGCTGGACCCTGTCGACGCCTGGCTGGTACCTGTCGTCGGCCCGGATGAGGTGTTCCAGCCCCGCGGCCCCTGCTCTCCTCGTCCCCGCTGGCGCGGGTGAATCTGCGCAACCTGCGGCCTCTGTGTGTGGCTCCCCGGACAGCTAATGCCGTGGACCCGCCAGCTCCCGCCAGGATTGGGCTGGTAAATGCTAGATCGCTAGCGAACAAAACGTTTATCCTGAAGGATTTCCTGACTTCCCGAGGATTGGATTTTCTCTGTGTGACTGAGACGTGGCTGACTGTTGGTGAGTCCAGTGCTTTCACAGAACTTTTACCCGATGATTGCTGCTATTTTAACTCCCTGCGGACGTCGGGTCGAGGAGGAGGAATAGCGACTATTTATCAGAGTCACTATAAATGTAAGCAGCTAGGTAAGATGACGTGTGCCGTCTGAGTGCCGTAAATCGTTTCGTCCTGGAAGTGACCTGGGGCGGACCCGGAGACAGTTTCCTAAAGGTATGGATATACACTATATAGAAATATCTTATCTTCACACCGATGGTCTCATTTGCTGTTGTAGGTCACGCACAGGCATCAGCAGAAACAAGAGACTTTTGCATATCCAGTTAAAAGTTCCTTGTAGCAGCTTTAAGGAACCCTTAGACCAGTGCACAAAAGACCTTAGCAACCAAAGCAAGGTAAAAAACCAAAGGTACCATGACTGAGTTTATGGTGATAAATGAAAAAAACCAACACACCCCGAGAAGAGTGTTCTGTGAGGAGAACCTGACGGACACACTCCTGATTTTACACTTAAGATTTGACTGAATTCATCTTCGTTGTTTCTTCCTACAGTCATTTTCTGTTTTCTGGTATTTGGGGTCAAATTTACTTTGTTGTTTGTACTGTCTATGATTGTGTTCCTCCAGAAGTTTAATCTTTTCCTCCTCTGACCTGTATGGTTTTCTTCTGCTACTTTTTCACTATCTTTTGAGACGATAACAGGCGTCACAGCTTGAGTCCAAACAAACAAACAATTTCCATGGAAACTGTTACCGCTGTAAAATCTCTTTCAATACAGTAAATAATCTTTTTAAGAGATTCTGTGCAACTGTGTAAGTCCCTCAGCTAAGGAGAAATTAAGCCTTAAGTGTCATATTTAAGGAGAAAACCTAAGGTGTTTTGTGTAACCGCTCCCTGGTCTTTTGTTTGCATGATTTTTAAATGTTGGTATGAAAACTCCAGATTAAGAATCCAGCATCAATATTTCTGATTGAGACTGAAAACCTGCTTCCTGCTGTTGAATACGTCTCTTATTCCACAGAACAAAGAGGTCATGCAGTTGATGATGAGACAGGTAAGAACAAACCTAAACCTGCTTAATCACAACTTGTTTAACAAATGTGTCTCCATCCAAAACCAAATGTAATATTACTGAGACTGGATACAGATTTAAATAACATTATTTTACTTTTGGGATACCATAAACAGGTCAAATATTGTTCTACATTAACTTGTGTGCATTAATATTTTTCTTTTACATTTGTAACATCCTGTACATGTTGAAGAAACATTTCCCAAGCAAAGATGACTGCTAGCTAAACTCCTCTTCTGGGGATGAAGAGCTGGCCTCTAGTTTGTTTTTCCCTCTTCCTGGTGATCGGCACATCTGGGTGATGTTAGTATATGTTGGATGTGTTTCCATTCACATCTCTGAAAGCTGCAGAGCTCTGGTCAAAGTAGCGCAAATGTAGTGTAAAGAGTAACTTATTACTCTACACAGAGAGTAATATTGTAAAGTAACTTTCAAATGAAGGTAACTAGTAATATGTAATATATTATATTTTGAGAGTAAGTTGCCCAGCACTGGTCACTTCTTAGTAACATTCACTAAAGTGGGCGGGGTTGTCTCCTAAAACAAAATTGGTTAAAAAAAAAAATATTTTCAGTATTTGAAAATAAGTCAAATAAGAAGATTTTGGTTTTGACAAAATCATTTGTGCCATCTGTCCTTGTACCTCCAGGTCGATGCTACGACATCATGACTTACAGCAGCTGCCAGTCGGGGATTCCCAAATTCTTCTACAAAAGCACCAGTTACAGGTGTGAGCAGTTCTACACTGGCTGTGGGTCCAACAGGAACACATTCAATACCCAGGAGGCCTGTGAGGCCCTCTGCAGTCAGAAGTGTAAGTGACCTCTTAAATATATGTTGTGAAGTCCCTAATGTTGAGCAGCCAAGTGGGGGATTCTGATCTCTGAGTTTCCTCTCCACGATGTATGAGTCCACCGCGGAGGGAAACAGAAGACCCTTGTACCTGTGAATAAAAATCTTTGTCTCTCCAGTCCTTTGTTATCGGCCAATGGAGCACGGTCAGCCACCCCCCATTCGCTTCACCGATGTCTTAAGATACGATGGCAGCAATCACAACGATGGCAGCAATCACAACAGGATCTTCTACAACGTGTCGAGTTCCAGGTGTGAAGGATTTCACTTCAGAGGCAGTGTGTCTAATGGGAACATCTTTAACACTGTGGAGGAGTGTGAAAGACTCTGTGCTGGTGTTAAAGGTAACAGACAAAACGATTTCTGTTGCTTCTCTGTTTGCTCTTATTAGATAGATTCTTTAACTGGTGGAGGAAGCAGTCAGATCTTTCAGTAAAAGTACTAATACCACACAGTAAAAATACTCTGTTACTCCTGTATTGAAAATATTCAACCAGTAAAAGGATGTAAGTATCATCAGTAAAATGTATTTAAAGTATGAAATATCCGATCTCATTACATGACTCTGACTCATGCATTAATGTAAAAGCAGGATTTTACTGTTGGAGTTGGTTGAGGTGGAGCTCACTTTACGGATTAATCTGCTGATTATATTCTCTGTTAATCGAATGATTGTTCGGTTTCTAAAACTTGTAACAGACAGCATCATTTCCATGTTTCATTTAATATTATTCCACCAGATCTGACAGTGGTTGCTCCTACAGAGGGGACAGGTAACTATGTTTTCTGTTTATCATATTTACTTGTATTTGTATCACAGTCATTCTGTAATGTCAATTATCAATGAGGGCAGTTAATACAGAGAACAAAAAATAATAGAAACAACATGTTTGTAAGATTAGGAGCATCTTCTTTGCATTTTTCTCCACTCCATGTAAATATATCCCTGTGTCATCTGCATACATTTGAACATCAGTTCCATGATGATTGATGTATAAACTGAAGAGGAGAGGACCTAGTATAGAGCCCTGGGGCACTCCTATATTATAACAGAGAATGGGCAACACTGTGTCCTCTATTCTTATGAACTGTGTCCTCTATTCTTATTTAAAGGCAGGGCTTTACTTTTTTGTGTGTTATTTTATATGCTCCACACATCATATTATTGGGATACATTTACTCAGATATGGAAAAAGTTGAAACTAAATTCTGTGTCCTCTATTCTTATTTAAAGGCAGGGCTTTACTTTTTTGTGTGTTATTTTATATGCTCCACACATCATATTATTGGGATACATTTACTCAGATATGGAAAAAGTTGAAACTAAATTAAATGTTCAAACAGTTCCTATGACCATTCAACCTGCTGCGGACTCAGGTAATAACACATCTCTGTTTTCTGCATTATTTTCACTCATATAACTGTTTCGTCAACTCTACGATTATAATTAACATTATTAACCCTATAACAGATAATACAGTAACTGCCTCTACAGACAATGTTCCTGCCAAGAACACAGCTAACTTTAAATTATAATAATCATTATCATTACTGCATCTTAACACTTTACCACCATGTTAATGTTATGTATAATTAACAACGAGTTAATACAACCAGCCCGCCTGCTGAGGATTCAGTCTGTTTTCTGCATTATTTCTGCTATAATCACCATCATATCAACACTAAAACAAAGATTACATTACTGACTCTTTACCAGATCTGACAGTGGTTGCTCCTACAGAGGGGACAGGTAACTATGTTTTCTGTTTATCATATTTACTTGTATTTGTATCACAGTCATTCTGTAATGTCAATTATCAATGAGGGCAGTTAATACAGAGAACAAAAAATAATAGAAACAACATGTTTGTAAGATTAGGAGCATCTTCTTTGCATTTTTCTCCACTCCATGTAAATATATCCCTGTGTCATCTGCATACATTTGAACATCAGTTCCATGATGATTGATGTATAAACTGAAGAGGAGAGGACCTAGTATAGAGCCCTGGGGCACTCCTATATTATAACAGAGAATGGGCAACACTGTGTCCTCTATTCTTATGAACTGTGTCCTCTATTCTTATTTAAAGGCAGGGCTTTACTTTTTTGTGTGTTATTTTATATGCTCCACACATCATATTATTGGGATACATTTACTCAGATATGGAAAAAGTTGAAACTAAATTAAATGTTCAAACAGTTCCTACGACCATTCAACCTGCTGCGGACTCAGGTAATAACACATCTCTGTTTTCTGCATTATTTTCACTCATATAACGGTCTCGTCAACTCTACGATTATAATTAACATTATTAACCCTATAACAGATAATACAGTAACTGCCTCTACAGACAATGTTCCTGCCAAGAACACAGCTAACTTTAAATTATAATAATCATTATCATTACTGCATCTTAACACTTTACCACCATGTTAATGTTATGTATAATTAACAACGAGTTAATACAACCAGCCCGCCTGCTGAGGATTCAGTCTGTTTTCTGCATTATTTCTGCTATAATCACCATCATATCAACACTAAAACAAAGATTACATTACTGACTCTTTACCAGATCTGACAGTGGTTGCTCCTACAGAGGGGACAGGTAACTATGTTTTCTGTTTATCATATTTACTTGTATTTGTATCACAGTCATTCTGTAATGTCAATTATCAATGAGGGCAGTTAATACAGAGAACAAAAAATAATAGAAACAACATGTTTGTAAGATTAGGAGCATCTTCTTTGCATTTTTCTCCACTCCATGTAAATATATCCCTGTGTCATCTGCATACATTTGAACATCAGTTCCATGATGATTGATGTATAAACTGAAGAGGAGAGGACCTAGTATAGAGCCCTGGGGCACTCCTATATTATAACAGAGAATGGGCAACACTGTGTCCTCTATTCTTATGAACTGTGTCCTCTATTCTTATTTAAAGGCAGGGCTTTACTTTTTTGTGTGTTATTTTATATGCTCCACACATCATATTATTGGGATACATTTACTCAGATATGGAAAAAGTTGAAACTAAATTAAATGTTCAAACAGTTCCTACGACCATTCAACCTGCTGCGGACTCAGGTAATAACACATCTCTGTTTTCTGCATTATTTTCACTCATATAACGGTCTCGTCAACTCTACGATTATAATTAACATTATTAACCCTATAACAGATAATACAGTAACTGCCTCTACAGACAATGTTCCTGCCAAGAACACAGCTAACTTTAAATTATAATAATCATTATCATTACTGCATCTTAACACTTTACCACCATGTTAATGTTATGTATAATTAACAACGAGTTAATACAACCAGCCCGCCTGCTGAGGATTCAGTCTGTTTTCTGCATTATTTCTGCTATAATCACCATCATATCAACACTAAAACAAAGATTACATTACTGACTCTTTACCAGATCTGACAGTGGTTGCTCCTACAGAGGGGACAGGTAACTATGTTTTCTGTTTATCATATTTACTTGTATTTGTATCACAGTCATTCTGTAATGTCAATTATCAATGAGGGCAGTTAATACAGAGAACAAAAAATAATAGAAACAACATGTTTGTAAGATTAGGAGCATCTTCTTTGCATTTTTCTCCACTCCATGTAAATATATCCCTGTGTCATCTGCATACATTTGAACATCAGTTCCATGATGATTGATGTATAAACTGAAGAGGAGAGGACCTAGTATAGAGCCCTGGGGCACTCCTATATTATAACAGAGAATGGGCAACACTGTGTCCTCTATTCTTATGAACTGTGTCCTCTATTCTTATTTAAAGGCAGGGCTTTACTTTTTTGTGTGTTATTTTATATGCTCCACACATCATATTATTGGGATACATTTACTCAGATATGGAAAAAGTTGAAACTAAATTAAATGTTCAAACAGTTCCTACGACCATTCAACCTGCTGCGGACTCAGGTAATAACACATCTCTGTTTTCTGCATTATTTTCACTCATATAACGGTCTCGTCAACTCTACGATTATAATTAACATTATTAACCCTATAACAGATAATACAGTAACTGCCTCTACAGACAATGTTCCTGCCAAGAACACAGCTAACTTTAAATTATAATAATCATTATCATTACTGCATCTTAACACTTTACCACCATGTTAATGTTATGTATAATTAACAACGAGTTAATACAACCAGCCCGCCTGCTGAGGATTCAGTCTGTTTTCTGCATTATTTCTGCTATAATCACCATCATATCAACACTAAAACAAAGATTACATTACTGACTCTTTACCAGATCTGACAGTGGTTGCTCCTACAGAGGGGACAGGTAACTATGTTTTCTGTTTATCATATTTACTTGTATTTGTATCACAGTCATTCTGTAATGTCAATTATCAATGAGGGCAGTTAATACAGAGAACAAAAAATAATAGAAACAACATGTTTGTAAGATTAGGAGCATCTTCTTTGCATTTTTCTCCACTCCATGTAAATATATCCCTGTGTCATCTGCATACATTTGAACATCAGTTCCATGATGATTGATGTATAAACTGAAGAGGAGAGGACCTAGTATAGAGCCCTGGGGCACTCCTATATTATAACAGAGAATGGGCAACACTGTGTCCTCTATTCTTATGAACTGTGTCCTCTATTCTTATTTAAAGGCAGGGCTTTACTTTTTTGTGTGTTATTTTATATGCTCCACACATCATATTATTGGGATACATTTACTCAGATATGGAAAAAGTTGAAACTAAATTAAATGTTCAAACAGTTCCTACGACCATTCAACCTGCTGCGGACTCAGGTAATAACACATCTCTGTTTTCTGCATTATTTTCACTCATATAACGGTCTCGTCAACTCTACGATTATAATTAACATTATTAACCCTATAACAGATAATACAGTAACTGCCTCTACAGACAATGTTCCTGCCAAGAACACAGCTAACTTTAAATTATAATAATCATTATCATTACTGCATCTTAACACTTTACCACCATGTTAATGTTATGTATAATTAACAACGAGTTAATACAACCAGCCCGCCTGCTGAGGATTCAGTCTGTTTTCTGCATTATTTCTGCTATAATCACCATCATATCAACACTAAAACAAAGATTACATTACTGACTCTTTACCAGATCTGACAGTGGTTGCTCCTACAGAGGGGACAGGTAACTATGTTTTCTGTTTATCATATTTACTTGTATTTGTATCACAGTCATTCTGTAATGTCAATTATCAATGAGGGCAGTTAATACAGAGAACAAAAAATAATAGAAACAACATGTTTGTAAGATTAGGAGCATCTTCTTTGCATTTTTCTCCACTCCATGTAAATATATCCCTGTGTCATCTGCATACATTTGAACATCAGTTCCATGATGATTGATGTATAAACTGAAGAGGAGAGGACCTAGTATAGAGCCCTGGGGCACTCCTATATTATAACAGAGAATGGGCAACACTGTGTCCTCTATTCTTATGAACTGTGTCCTCTATTCTTATTTAAAGGCAGGGCTTTACTTTTTTGTGTGTTATTTTATATGCTCCACACATCATATTATTGGGATACATTTACTCAGATATGGAAAAAGTTGAAACTAAATTAAATGTTCAAACAGTTCCTACGACCATTCAACCTGCTGCGGACTCAGGTAATAACACATCTCTGTTTTCTGCATTATTTTCACTCATATAACGGTCTCGTCAACTCTACGATTATAATTAACATTATTAACCCTATAACAGATAATACAGTAACTGCCTCTACAGACAATGTTCCTGCCAAGAACACAGCTAACTTTAAATTATAATAATCATTATCATTACTGCATCTTAACACTTTACCACCATGTTAATGTTATGTATAATTAACAACGAGTTAATACAACCAGCCCGCCTGCTGAGGATTCAGTCTGTTTTCTGCATTATTTCTGCTATAATCACCATCATATCAACACTAAAACAAAGATTACATTACTGACTCTTTACCAGATCTGACAGTGGTTGCTCCTACAGAGGGGACAGGTAACTATGTTTTCTGTTTATCATATTTACTTGTATTTGTATCACAGTCATTCTGTAATGTCAATTATCAATGAGGGCAGTTAATACAGAGAACAAAAAATAATAGAAACAACATGTTTGTAAGATTAGGAGCATCTTCTTTGCATTTTTCTCCACTCCATGTAAATATATCCCTGTGTCATCTGCATACATTTGAACATCAGTTCCATGATGATTGATGTATAAACTGAAGAGGAGAGGACCTAGTATAGAGCCCTGGGGCACTCCTATATTATAACAGAGAATGGGCAACACTGTGTCCTCTATTCTTATGAACTGTGTCCTCTATTCTTATTTAAAGGCAGGGCTTTACTTTTTTGTGTGTTATTTTATATGCTCCACACATCATATTATTGGGATACATTTACTCAGATATGGAAAAAGTTGAAACTAAATTAAATGTTCAAACAGTTCCTACGACCATTCAACCTGCTGCGGACTCAGGTAATAACACATCTCTGTTTTCTGCATTATTTTCACTCATATAACGGTCTCGTCAACTCTACGATTATAATTAACATTATTAACCCTATAACAGATAATACAGTAACTGCCTCTACAGACAATGTTCCTGCCAAGAACACAGCTAACTTTAAATTATAATAATCATTATCATTACTGCATCTTAACACTTTACCACCATGTTAATGTTATGTATAATTAACAACGAGTTAATACAACCAGCCCGCCTGCTGAGGATTCAGTCTGTTTTCTGCATTATTTCTGCTATAATCACCATCATATCAACACTAAAACAAAGATTACATTACTGACTCTTTACCAGATTCGACAGCGGCTGCTCCTACAGAGGGGACAGGTAATTATATTTTCTGTTTATTATATTTACTTGTATTTGTATCACAGTCGTTCTGTAATGTCAATTATCAATGAGGGCAGTTAATACAGAGAAAAAAAATAATAGAAACAACATGTTTGTAAGATTAGGAGCATCTTCTTTGCATTTTTCTCCATGTAAATATATCCCTGTGTCATCTGCATACATCTGAACATCAGTTCCATCACATATTGAAAGCTGATGATTGATGTATAAACTGAAGAGGAGAGGACCTAGAATAGAGCCCTGGGGCACTCCTACATTATAACAGAGTGGGCAACACTGAGTCCTCTTTTCTTACGAACTCATATCTATTTAAAGGAAGGGATTTACTTTTGTGTGTTATTTTATATGCTCTGCACATCATATTATTGGGATACATTTACTCAGATATGGAAAAAGTTGAAACTAAATTAAATGTTCAAACAGTTCCTAAGACCATTCAACCTGCTGTGGACTCAGGTAACAATACACCTGCTTCATCTTCACCTGTATGGCTGTCTCATCAACACCACATTTATAAATAATAATTTATTATAGGTAACAGACAGCCAACTTTACATATTTTTATTTCCCTGTATTTACTCTTGACCTTCATGTTTATCTTATATATAATTCACAAATCAATATTTCTTACTTTAAACCAGCTCCTACAACCGGCCCACCTGGGGCCTGTATCACGAAGCAGGATTAATGTCTTAGCGAGGTAACTTCAGGGTTAACCCTGGGTTTTCGGTCTCACGAAGCCGGTTCAGTTCTTATCGGGGTAGATCACCATGGTAACTTACTCTGAACGGCTATCCTGCTCCGGAGCAGGGTAAATTCAGGGTTGAATCTGATCCTATAAAAAGCACCACCCACTGGCCAATCAGCTGTTTGGAAAAAAATGACTCCGCTGACAGAAATGCAGCCCAGTCATGACGGGAAGTTTAATTCATTTGATTGATTTTGATTTTAAAGTTTATTTTGAACATTAAAACAGAAAAGAAAGCAACAACAACAGACAATGAAAAGATTGTTCAAAAAGGAGTGGAAAGAAGTGGAACTTTCATCCCACCCCTTCATAAGAAAGAAACTGATCATTTGCAGACACTTAATAGCACCATTAATTAGTGCCAACATTTTGTTTTGTTGGAGGAAATGATCCCTGTTAAAGATAATGGGCCTAATTGACAGCTTTGCTGCTGGAAATGTGGAAAGTAGCCTATCATGTCTACACTTCATGGTGTTTGAGGGATTTTCCTTTTTGTTTTTTAAAGAGGGACACTAGCTATATTTTTGTGCAGCTGTTAATTTCTAACACAGCTCAATATCAGGATGATTTTATTCAGACTATCAATTTGGTGTTGATATGATTTAATTGTGGCGTCAGCTTTAAGCTTTATTGTAGCATATATAACGTTATGACAAAGAAGACCAATTTATCAGACGCAATGATGTTAGACGATAATTGTAATACACGCAATTCATCTGCGCAGCATTGATTTCATGGGATTCAAGGGTGTGATCAGTGTCAGATGTACAGGTACAGGTACTGTAGCCACTTGAACCAGTGATGAGTCATTTAACCTACACATCATTTTATTTGCTGCCTTGTTTGGTCTTGATTTTTCCCTCTCTCCTCCTCTATTTCTTCTTTCCTCACCCATTTCTTTTCTTCTCTATTATGTGATTTCATTGATGTTTTGACAGGGGAATTTCTTTGATAAGCTTTTAGTGGCTTCTAACCTCTCCGGCACTTTTCTTTTTTTAATCTTGTAAATGTTATACTGTCTGTGTTTAACATTATGTGCAAATAAACTAATCTAAACTAAAACTAAACATTATTCATCCCGTTATGTGTTGCCACGCATGTTTCCTCCTCCTGCAGCTGCCACGGTGTTGGCCTTTTCTCTAATGTTGCTTTTCTCCTCCTCATATTTTAGTAGAATTAATCTCTGATCCTCACGAGAAATACTGTTTTCCCCTCACATACGGCGCTCTGTGAGGACGCTCAGTGACGCTGCGCTTCTCTCATGATTGTGATTGGTCCGCTGCGTGCGCGTTCACGGCTCTTGATAAAGCAACCCCGGGTTGAGTTACCGAGTTGATATCCAGCGTTGTGATACCGATTATCCTGATTGCCATTGTTAGGGTTAGTCAACCCAGGATAGGTCTGGGTAACCCAGGAAAGGTTGATCTCGCTTCGTGATACAGGCCCCTGCTGTGGATTCAGGTGATAACACATCAGTGTTTTCTTGCATTATGTTCATTCATATAACCATCTCATCATCTCATTACTTACTCTTTAGCAGACACTACAGTGGCTGCTCCTTCGGACGGGACAGGTAAATATATTTGCAGTTTATTATATTTACTTGTATTTGTATCACATTCATTCTGTGATGTTAATTAAGGTTATTCATTTAATTCAGATGTTGCAGCTCCTGTAACCAGTTCCATATCAGGTATTGTCTTCACTTCACTCACTGCACACGTTTATCTTTACTACCTGAGGGTTAGTGTGGGAGGCCAAAAGTATGTGGACATCTGGTGCAGAATGTGAATCCTGAGCCTCAGACACATGCAGCTGGTAGAGTTTATGAATGTGCCAGAATATACGTTTAAACATGATGGTGGGGCTGGTGTTTGTCTTAAATGCATCAAACCTCCTGATCTTCATCTTCCTCCTTCCTCTTGTTTAGTGGTCTTCCTCAGTGTTTTTCTGGTCATTTCGCTGCTGCTGACCATAGTTGCCATCACCATGCAGTGCGGCAGACTGTTCCCCCATTCTCCTGACAGGTAAAGTTAAATGTCAGATTGTAACTCCTCATGTCCCCTGGATGTGTTGCAGCACTCTGTTCTTCAGCAGACATTTTTCATGTTAGCTGGAAAAATATTTTTAACGTGCAGTTTGTGGTAACGATGAGACAACTAATACTTTATGTGTGAATGAGTGGTGGAATGTAACTAAGTACATTTTCTCAGGCAATGTACTCAAGTAGAGAGCACACGTGTGTTCAGGCACACTTCCATTACTGCAAGTGGAAGTTGTTTATCATCCATCCATCTATCCATTTTCATGCACTTATCCGCTTATCTTATTCATGCGCTGGGTCTCCTCTACAGTTTCCATGGCAGCAGATCGCTCTGTGTTCCTATTGGTCAAAGTGGCGGCTGTGACGGGTGAAGTCGTGGAAGAGAAAAAGAAAATCAAACATGTTCGACTTTCTGTTGGAACGTCGATAAGCTCCCAGATGTGGCGTAGGTTGTTGTCTACTATGACACACTACATGAGATAAAGCGATGGATTATCATGTACGACACGTCGTCGTTTACGAGCCGTCACCGTACGATGCTGCGTTGGTCTATAATCGGGCAGATATCGTGTAGTGTGTACCCGGCATAACGGGAGGTGCCCAGGAGGATCTTGATCAGATGCCCGAACCCCCTCAACACTTGAAAGCTGGCACACAAGTAACCCTACATTTGTTTGTGATTCTTCCTCTCCAGATACCAGAGGCTGGCAGATGCAGATCCAGCTCAGTAATCTTTGGTGGAGTCGGCGTCTGTTGAGGGGATCTCATCGAGTCCTCGACCACAGACAGCTTCAAGGGATTGGGTGGGCCTTTAGACGGCACCTCTGCTGATGTCCTCTCACTGTTTGTCACTGAATCACTGTAAAAATCAACACTTTTGATTAAATTTAAACGTGCATAATTGACCCTGTGCTAAGCCCCGCCCCTTTGTGATGGTCCATCAAGCTGTTGGAGCGAGCAGGGAGCCCACACTGTCTCTAACTGCACTCCCAGAAGAAATACTGTCACAGTTTTTGGGAAAACGGAAAGGTGATTCCAGAGAGCAGCACACAGAGGGGTCTACAACATGTGTTTGACAGACTGTTTATTCTTTATTTCCTTATTTAGTAATCATTTTTCAGTATCATGTGACTCTGCTTTTTGGGTAAAATTCAGGAATTTCCTTCCTTTATGTCGTTTTTTTTTTTGTGTTTAGTTTGTGTGTGGGTGAAGCTGCTGTTTGAGACGTCAGAGGAAGAATCATGTTTTCACAGCTGATTTACTGAATTATTCTCCATGTTTTGATTTAGTTTGAACTTCTGAATTGTCTTCATGGTAAAGTTGTTACAGTGCCAACTGGTGTCTGCATCAAAATTAAAAACACTGTCTTTCAACCAGCTGTTTAGATGTATTTGAATTACACAGGGGTTTGGTCTGTCGGTGCTTTATTCAAGGTTCAAGGTTCAGTTTATTGTCATTCAAACATGTTAAAAAACATGAGGGGACAAAATTCATTACCCAGCAGTGTACAGAATAAATAACATTTAAGATAGACCTATTTATCACACAAGGTTACGTTTTATAATTCAGGAGCTTTACAAAACACGAGCAGTGACACAATCCAGCAGAGAGTACCAAAATGTTCCATATTAAACAAATACTTGTGATGATTTCAAGAACAATTTATATAAAACACATCCTGATTAAATGAAATTGAAACGTTATTGAAAAACAAGAAGAGTGACTCAGTGCTGCAAAAATCAATTCGGAAACTAAAATGTCTTAATTTAACATTTAAACTGAACTTTCAGCACAAACAAACATTTTTTTGTTCACATCTCAAAGTGACAGAAAACATTCTGATGATTTGTTCTTGTTTTTTGTACAATAAATGAGAAACATCTCGGCCTGTCGACGAGCAGAGCTGCAGGTTTTTAAAGAGGGGAGGCTGGCTGCTGACCCCGAAATCTATCATCACATTTTAATGAAGGGAAATCGTATACAGGCGACGCCCTGAGAGACACCTCGGACACTTTATATAAAGAAAATACAAGAAAATGTATCGTTGGCACAAAGTCAGCCTGTGATAGATGGAAGAACCCTGAGAGTGAAAAAGACATTTTTTATTTTAATGGGAACTTTAGCTCAACAAAGTCCAGAGCTGCGGAGCAGAGGATTACAAACTGTGGGGAGCTGCTCCGCCGGGGGACACAGGAGAGTCAAAGGAGGTCTGAAGGAGGGATGATGTAAAGGTGCCGCGTGAGGTCAAAGAACATACACTGCCTGGCCAAAAAAAAAGTCGCCACCTGGATTTAACTAAGCAAATAGGTACGAGCCTCCTATTGGATAATTACTGCATGGGCGATTATCTTTCAGCTGGCAACAAGTTATTTAACCCCAACTGGTGCAATGAGTTGCTTCTCATTTCCTAAACAACCATGTCGAAAGACACATCCCGTGGTCGTGGAAAAGATGTTAGTCTGTTTGAGAAGGGTCAAATCATTGGCATGCATCAAGCAGAGAAAACATCTAAGGAGATTGCAGAAACTACTAAAATTGGGTTAAGAACTGTCCAACGCATTATTAAAAACTGGAAGGATAGTGGGGACCCATCGTCTTCGAGGAAGAAATGTGGCCGGAAAAAAATCCTCAATGATCGTGATCGGCGATCACTTAAACGTTTGGTGAGATCAAATCGAAGAAAAACAACAGTAGAACTCAGGGCTATGTTTAATAGTGAAAGTAAGAGCATTTCCACACGCACAATGCGAAGGGAACTCAAGGGATTGGGACTGAACAGCTGTGTAGCCTTAAGAAAACCACTAATCAGTGAGGCTAACCGGAAAAAAAGGCTTCAATTTGCTAGGGAGCATAAAGATTGGACTCTGGAGCAATGGAAGAAGGTCATGTGGTCTGATGAGTCCAGATTTACCCTGTTCCAGAGTGATGGGCGCATCAGGGTAAGAAGAGAGGCAGATGAAGTGATGCACCCATCATGCCTAGTGCCTACTGTACAAGCCTGTGGGGGCAGTGTTATGATCTGGGGTTGCTGCAGTTGGTCAGGTCTAGGTTCAGCAACAGTATGTGCTCAAAGAATGAGGTCAGCTGACTACCTGAATATACTGAATGACCAGGTTATTCCATCAATGGATTTTTTCTTCCCTGATGGCACGGGCATATTCCAAGATGACAATGCCAGGATTCATCGGGCTCAAATTGTGAAAGACTGGTTCAGGGAGCATGAGACATCATTTTCACACATGGATTGGCCACCACAGAGTCCAGACCTTAACCCCATTGAGAATCTTTGGGATGTGCTGGAGAAGGCTTTGCGCAGCGGTCAGACTCTACCATCATCAATGCAAGATCTTGGTGAAAAATTAATGCAACACTGGATGGAAATAAATCTTGTGACATTGCAGAAGCTTATCGAAACAATGCCACAGCGAATGCGTACCGTAATCAAAGCTAAAGGCGGTCCAACGAAATATTAGAGTGTATGACCTTTTTTTTGGTGGTGACTTTTTTTTTGGCCAGGCAGTGTATGAGTCCACATCACCGCACACCACCCAGAAAGTTTATAAACTGTCTCTCAGTTTTTACAACCGTTTAATTGAAAATACAATTATTTGTTTTCAATCATTAAAGACATCGATCTGGCAAACCAAGAGGAAGGAATCGTGAAAGTCTTCATACGTGCCTGTAAGTCTGAGAGCAATGCTAAAATTATTTCAAGGAAATACAACTTTTTTCCAAACAGGAAATCAGAAGAGCCACTGTATATTAAAGGGAAATGGGACAATGAAGACAGAAGGGTTCTGTCTCAGGAGGAGCAGCTCAGGGTTTGCCAAATACAGTGGAAAACTACAAGTTCCCCTGTTTGGAGGGAGAGCTTCTGGAAGGGTTTGGTGCGCTTCTTCTTAACTCCCCGACAGAAGCGACAGAACGAGCAACTCGGACTGTTGGAGGCAATGCAAGGCTGCAGATGTGAATCACTGTCGTATATTTTGGTTGTGCCCTGTCCTGACTGCTTACTGGAAGAATGTCCATCAGATCTTAGAGAAGGTGCTCAGATCCAATATCCCTCTCAGATCTGCAATATTCAGCAAGAGATAAACTCCAAAGGTAGAACCCTGCGACAACACTGCTGGCTGCATGTAAAAAAGCAATAACTCGTGTCTCTCGATTGAAGACTGGATAGAGGTTCATCAACATTCAGAACAGAACCGGTTCCATGTTGGTGGACGATCAACACACTCTCACTGTGACCTCGTCACATGTCCACGTTTGGTCATGGACTTTCCATGTCCACATGTGACGTCCAAGGTACCCTGGGTGTGTTGGTTGTTGACGTTCTGGGACGCCGTGTCAACTTCAGCCTGTTACATGCATTGTCTGTTTTCAAAATACACTTCTGTTTTCACAGGAAATGTACAGTTTGCATACAGTCTCTTTCAAAATAAATGTTAGTGCGACAACGTGAATTGACGCTTTTTTCCTTCAACAACAAACGCACGTGGTTGGGTTTAGGTAAAAAGAACAGGGTTTGGCTTTACAGTCTTACAGGAAGTGAACACCAGCCTCCCAGGTGAAAGCTGGAGGGTGTTGGACCCATCCACCACCTCTCCTGCCAGCCCTAGTTATTTACACTCAGCTGGTCAGGACGCAGATAAAGTCTTAAAGAAGAGGAAGATGTTTCAGTTGTTTCAGTCTCGTTGGGTTTGTGGGGTCGTCTGGCTGCAGAGCTTCAGTGGTTCAGTGTGCTGTCGTCAGGTTTACGATCTCTCTTGACTGTCAGTCGTCTTTGTGTTGGTTTCAGCTGACTGCCTCTGAGCAAGGCAGCAAAAACTGCAAATTCACCAGGGGGCGCTGCTGCTGCAGGGCCGGCAACCTGACCAGTCATTAAGGCCAGGGTGTGGTGTGTGTGTGTGTGTGTGTGTGTGTGTGTATGCTGGGGGTCTTCAGTGGGGGGGAGGAAGAGGAAAAGATGACCATATCCTGCTGCAGCTAGAAAATAAAACAAACAGGAAACAAGCAGCAGAACTCCCAGAGCTCAACGAGGAGCGAGAGGAGATGAGTAGAAACCAGTAGAGTCGCACAGAACCACAGGGAGGAGAACACAGAGGGACAAGAGAACCCAGGGGAACCCGGCAAGCAGGACGTCTAACAGAGCAGAGGAGACAGGAACCTGCAGCAGATCAGGAGAGTACAGAGCCGTAAACAGAGCTGATCTGAGGACAGTAGAACCCTCTGTGAGAACACAGCAGAGAGAAGTGTAAAATAAGACTGCAGCTCACAGTGGAGTACGAACAACCGGCCAGCAGCTCCTGACCTGGACTCACTGAAACACACACATACACACACACACACACACACACTGCAGCAGAGATGTCACACTCCTGAGGAACAGTCGTGGATTAATTTCTGTATTCTACAAAAACAGAAGAAGAAGGTAAGAGCTCGTTCTTTTATCACTCTGCTCGTGTCACAGACAGTTTTTATTTATTACATTTATAAGTGAGGAAAACATCATTTAATTTAGATCTTTTATCCATTTGCACTTTATATTTACGGTTGCTGACAAGGTCAAACACGCTACAGTGGTTGAAAACATTTTGGTTCAAACACACACACACACACACACACACACACTAGCTGAAACATGTTGCAGTGATAAACAGATCTATCAGCAGCGACAGACATGATGCAAAGTTAAAAACACAAACAAATGAAAACGAACTAACAGAAAAATGCTGTGACATGACAGAAGTCCTCCAGGCCTGCAGGGGGAGCTGTGAGGGGAACAGCTTCAGATTGACTTCACAGCACCTTGTTTATGTGCAGCACCTTGTTTTAGAATTTAGAATTTGCAGTATTTTTTTTTTTTTTTTTGTGGCACGTTTGTTTCGTTTGCAGCCATTTTCTTTGCAGTACTTTTTTCATTTGTGTTATTTTTTTCATTTACAGCTTCTTTATCATTCGTGGCATTCAGCACACTTTTTAAAATTTAATAGTGTTGTTTTCATTTGCAGCCTGTTATTTATTTATTTATTT